AAGAAGAAGAAGAAGAAGAAGAAGAAGAAGAAGAAGAAGAAGAAGAAAATTAAAGAAAGCAGAAGACAGCACTGATAACTCAGCATTGAGAACCTTAAAAGCTCAGCAACTGTGGATACTTTTGTAGTGATGGGAACAAAGACTTCCAAACAGGAGGCAAGGAAACATGACAATTAGCTGAGCTTAATCAAGAAATAATTGTGGAGCTGGGTGTGGCGGCACATACTTTTAGTCCCCGAACTTGGTTGGCAGAATGAGGAAGGTCTCAAGCCAGCTTGGTCTACATAGTGAGTTTCAAGTCTACATAGTGAGATCTGAACCTGATAAACTATGTTGTGAGATCCTGTATCAAAATTTTTTTTTTTTTAAAATTAGAAAGAAAGAAAGAAAAGAAAGGAAGGGAGGAATGAGTGAAGGAAGGAAGGAAGGAAGAAAGAAAGAATGAAAGAAAAAAGAAGGAGGAGTGACAGTTAATGACCTTTAGATTTAATGACCTTTTGTTGTCATTTTGGGGGGCTAGGTTATTAGAGTCAGAACTGCTCTTAGGTCAGCACCCTGTTTTTCTACCATTCAAAAAAACAAGGCCCAGAGAAGGCAGTGAGATTGTATCTCACAGAACCGTGGGCCAGTGGTGTTCTCGTAGGCCTATGCTATATTTAGAAAAGAACAGATATACTTGATGTCTTAGATGCAGAAATTCCCACAATATGACCGTAAGATGAGTGGAAACAGAACTCTGAGGTTTGACCTTTGACCTCTGCATTCTGATTTCAGATTTTTGATCCTGCTAACCTCAGTCCCCACAGACCTTGGTGGACAGTAGTATTCAGCAACAGGGCCATCCAGAAGCTAAAAGAGTCCCGAGAAAGCCACTAAATTCCCAAAAGCTGGAAACCACTCTAGGGGAAGTACAAGTGCTTGCCTGCAACAACACACAGCTCCCTGGAGCTCCAGGATCTGGGAAGACTCCTGCTTGCTGGAGCCGCTGGCCCCTTCCCAAGATGTCCCATTCTGGTCTTTGTTATCTGGCTCTTGCCCAGATTCACATCCGCTTTGAACACTGTGATTATCCACGATGCTCTAGCCAGCACCATGTCTCCCCACCACAGTTTGTCGAAATAAATTAAAAACAAATTGAGACTCTCCCGTGGACCGTGAATACATTTCACTTTGCTTTACTTGAAATACGTCTTCCGAGTGGTGCTCTACAAATCTGCCTGACACAATAAATATGCATGAAGTTGCAGTGGCCTCCCACACCCTTGGTGTAGCCAGCTCAGTGATGGATAACAGGTGGGGAGAATTTTAAGTACATCCTGTTCCAACGAGGCTGACTTCTCTTCCATTTCTTTTTCCTTCCTCCTTTGCTCCCTTATGCGCACCATTCTCCCAACCCAGCAGAAAAATAATTGCTTGGAGGGCTGAGTCTGGCAGAGCTGATTTCTTTTTTTCCTTTCCTAATAGTTTTGCAAAACTTTGAAACTGTAAAGGAATAGCAGCTTCCCCCAACACACAAACACAGCTCTGCTCTGGCAAACAGGAAACCATCCCAGGGCTGTGGGCTCCCGAGCCAGGAAATCGGTCTTTGCTGCCCTGGTTACCTTCCCCACAGGTTCTTCCTGGCCATTCCAGTCAGTTAAAAATAGTCACCACCAAAACCAGAAGGAAAGATGAGATGATTTTATTGTCTAACCACACAGATATGGGTGGTTGTAGAGAGAGCCAATTCTCTGACTGGCTTCGACGAGAATTCTCACAGGGTTAAGGCTGGCCTCTTTAGCAAAATCCCCAGGTATCCCCCAGGAGCCAGCGTATGCCAGGAAGGAGGCGAATCAAGCAGGCCTGGCTAGCCATACGTGTACACGCAAGGGCATGGATACATGTACACTGTAGCAAGATGAAACCCCAGACCTCCCATTGGTGTAGCCTGTGTGTACTGCAGGTAGTACATGGGACCCAACTGGCTTATAAGGCTAGGAGAAAAGAGGGTGTGTGTGTGAAGGCCACAGAGGGGAAATAAAAGATAAATCTTTTTTTTTTTTATCATGCAGTGTTCTGCTCTATTGCCTGATAGGAGTATTAACCCCTCCAAAATAGAAGTCAAGGCACAATGATGAAAATACCTGAATTCCCCAATTCATAGCCCTGGTCCTCACTTTTGCCAAATTTGCTACTCTATCAGGTAAGTGGATCTTAAGATAGCTTGAATGTTCTAGGCACACAATTACAAAAAGTTGTCAGGATACAGAAGACATATGAGCTGGGAGGAAGCTTAGTGGGTGAAGAGCTTGCTGTACCAGCGTGAGGACCTGAGTTTGGCTCTCCAGAACTCATGTAAAGCCAGGCATGGGGCTACACACGTCTGCAATACCCGTGCTCCTGTAGGAGAGGACAGACAGAGAAAACAGAAGCACTGTGAACCCATAGGCCAGCCGGTCTGCCATATGCAGAGACAGCTGTAAAGAGCCTGTCTTAACCAGTGTGGAAGGTGAGAACTGGCACCTAAGTTGTCCTTGACCTCCTCTTGCGCACCATGGCATCCATGAATCTGCAGTTGTACACGAGAACACACACTAGGGTGGGGAAGAGAGAGAGGGGGCACACACGTACGCACACCAAACTAATCAAGCAAAACACGCAGTAAGAATGAAAAAGGGGAGGCTGAGGAGATGGCTCAGTCAGTAAAGCACCAGCCGCATAAGTGCAAAGACCTGGCTTCAAATAATCAGGGTCCATGACAAAAGCCAGAAACTGCAGCATGCCTGTGAAACCCCAACACCAGGGATCCCTGAAATTCAAATACCCGGCTAATCTAGTCCAATGGATGAGCTCCAGGCTCAACGAGAGGTCTGTCTCAAGAAAAGGACAGGAGAGGGGAGGGGCGAAAAGGGAAGGAAGGGAAGGAAAAAAGTTCTTCTTGAGAAGGTGGTATGAATAAAACTGTGAAAGACACAAATGCAGTTGTCCCAGGAGGACTGATTCCAGGATGCCCCAAACACCTTCACCTGGAGATAATCAAGTCCCTATCATGAAGCAACACAGCACTTACAGAAAGCCTGTGCCGGACTTCCATATGTTGAATTGATTTGTTGCTTATTTTCTGCTGTTTTTTTTTTTTTTTTTTTTTTTTTTTTTTTTTTTTGAGACAAGGTCTCACCATGTGACTTTGGTTGTCCTGGAACATTCCATGTACACCAGAGTGGCCTCAGACTCAGAGACCCTTCTGCCCCTGCCTCTGCCTCTGGAGGGCTGGGATTAAAAGCATGTGCCATACTTTATTATTATTACACTATCACCACCACCACCACCACCGTCTTTCTACATAGTCCAGGATAGTCTTGAACACACAATTCTCCCACTCCAGCACCAGAATTACTGGTATCTATCACCATGTTTCGTTTTTGCATATACTTTTTGTAAATAAATTTAAAAAGTCTTAACTGGTGTTGGTGGGGGGCGTGTGTGTGGATGCCTACAGAGATCAAAAGATACATTGATCCTCTGAAGCTGGGGTAAGGCAGGTGGTTGTGAGCTACCCATTTGGTCCTGGGAACCAAACTTGGGCCTTCCGGAAAAGCAGCAAGCACTCTTGACCCTTGAGCCCCCTCTCCAGCCGCATATCCTTTAAATAAGCTCTTAAGTTTTATGTGACTTGTACTATTCAGGAATGATAAAAAGAAAAGAAAAACGTCTGTACTTTAGGTACAGACACATTCTCCCTGCCCCTGATCCCGCCAATCCACAGCTGGTTGAATCTTTAGGTCCAGAACTGTGGGTGCAGAGGGTTGACTATACTGAGATTAGATAGTTCAGCTAGGACAAAGTGTTCCCTTTAAACATTTTTTTAAAGTAAATTTATGTCTTTTGTCGGGTGGGGGCATGCCATGCCATGTGTGGAAGACGAGGCTGACTTAGGGGAGTCCTTTCTTTCCTCACTCTGCATGGGTCCCTGGGATTGAACTCTGGCCGTCAGACTTCAAAGCAAGCCTCTTTACCCATTGACTGTCCTGCACAGAATTTCTGTAGTCGTGGAAGGACTAGGGCATCGCTTGGGGGATCAGTATAGGGAAAAGATTTGCCTGAAGCCTAGGCTGGGGGCTCCAGTCTGAGTCCCCAAATGGCACCGAAGGAGTCATTATCTGAAGGATGAATATTCTTTATAAGGGGCAGATATGTGACTGGAAGGAGGAAGTTGGTACAAGAGCGAGGCAGGATCCAAACCTCTGAGGGGTGGAAACGCTTTGTCTGGTTAAAGGAAGGAACAACATTGCTGTCATTCACATGAGCAGTCAACTGAACAGGGCTTGAATGTGGCCATGCATTGTACAGCCTAAAAGAGTTTTGTCTAATTGTACCATTTAGGAAGATATATGGGCATCTAGAAATTTTTAGTGACATGTGACAGTCCCTGTCAGTGTACCTGGGACAGCACCGGTGTGGAGTCCCTTCGTTTCGAACTTCTGGGGGAGGGGTCTCAGCAGAAGGGGTTTGTTTTCAAACCCTACTTAGTCACATCCTATTTTGTCACCTGGCACCTATGGACTTCTCTGAGCCTCGGTTTTTCTCATCTCTAAATTCAGAATGTTACCTTATTTTTTAGAACATAAAAGCCAGGGTGATTGTAGGTGTGTATTAACCACTAAGCAAGGCACACCCATCATTATCACCAAGTAACTATGTGGAATAAAACGGTGGCTACCCGGCTGTTGTGAAATCCTGTCCTAGGTCTCAGGAGCGTTAACGTCAGTCATCGTAGAACTCTCACCCTGGGGCAAGTGACTAAGACAGGGACACAGAAAGGTTAAGCGATGCACACTGTAGCTTGGGACCATAAAGGAATAACACTTTAAGGAACTTGGAGGTGACTTCTGGGGCAGGAGGCATTTGGAAGAGGAAAGAGGTCTGAACAAGATGCCAGCTAAGAGTCTTGGGTTTGGGGATCTTCTTTTCAGAGTGTACCCTGGAGGTGATACCATGTACTTGAGCCTGGGGGGAACTTCTGCCTCCTGTCCCGCCAGCCCCACACTTTTTCTCCCCATCTCCTGTTGATCATGACAAGCAGCACTCAGTAACTGTGTAAAAAGCTGACAAACCCCACTGTTAAACTGTGACAAGTTTCGGTCATTTAAAACTGGCCTGCCTAAAGCCTGAGGGTTGTCTCTAGTGAGTCAGGAAGGCCAGCATGTGGGAAATGAGGCTTGGAGTCTAGAGCAATGAGTGTCTAGAGGCAGTTAAGAGTTCATGGGGTGAGAGGGAGAAGCATACTGGATGACAGGGAGGCCAGGTCCTGCTGCAGATGTCATGTTCAGTTCCTGGCTATGGGTATTCCTGTCCAGTCAGGCTGCCCATTACTGTACTTCGGTCTTCCATTCAGCATGGGGGCCACGCATTTCTGCTGCCCTTTGCTTGGTCCCTCCTGTATATAATCTGGATTCTACATCAGGATGTTGACCCGGGCTTGCCTTCTCTTCCCACCAGTTTAACAAACAGGCATTCAAACGCTTGCTGATTCACTGATCGCTGAGGCATTTAACTAGCACTTCTTAGCTCTTAATCTATTTTTAATGTTTATTAAACACTTAGTGCACTCCAGGCAATGTGACTTACATTCATCATCTTATTATTTTCTTTTCCTCACAAACACTTTATGAAACCGGGTCTTGCATTTGTTTGCAAAGAAGGAAAAAGCCTTGGTGGGGTTATGTGACATGGCTGACCCTCACCGTTAGAAAGCGGTGCATGCCTCACGCTAATGTCCGTGTTTCAAACACAGTGGTGTAGAGATACATGGTTACTTAAATATTGACTTGTTTTTATTAAAATGAGTTCCTAAAGTATGGAGATGGGTGAGTTGGAAGGAGTGGAGTAGAGAGATCAATCTACTGACAGGTCATTAATGTTATATTGAAACATTTTTCACCATCTCATATTATTCTTATAGACACAAGTCACCGTAAGAAGCATCAGTCATGCTAGGGCATTATTGGTAATGGTGAGGATTCAGAGACAAACAAACCATCCTTCCATTCCAGAAATGTGGTTTCTAATGGAAAAGAGGAGATAGACGAGGAACGGCATGCTGGTCTTTCTTTGAGATAACATAAAGGCAAGTATGCTTAGGGGCTTCGGGAGCGGAGA